GCCTCCATCACTCTTGCAAGCAAACATTAGATGTTCTGATCACAGCAAACTGTTTCCAAGACACTCAATCTCAAGTTTCTGTACTTTGATGCATGTTGTTGGATTTTCTTGAAATGTCTTCACTAAGTAGCTCAAGGGTAACCTCTGCTCTGAGTTTTTTCCAGACTCACCTTTCCCTTCTAGCAGCACTAGACATAACTCTTCTTATTTCCAGATCCTTTGTCAAGAACTCTGTTACTGTACTTCCACATCAATCCCTTTATTATCTGCCTTTCCACTTGAGATGCAAACCGCACTGGGCAAGAACCTTACTTAGTTCATCTTTGTACTCCTAATGCCTAGCACAGTGCCAGACACACAAGAAGCATACTGTTTTATTTAATTTTTTAATTTATATATTTTTACATCATTTTTCATTTTTGCACAATGTATGCACTTTCATCTTGGTTATAGTCCCCATACAATTCCCACCATACTGTTAATGAGGATTTTTCTTTATTTTTATTTTTTTTTAATTAATAAATTTTATTTTTATATTTTTCTTTAAATTCTCTAATTTGAAAGGTGCTTGCTAAGTTTATTTTTAGGGTGGTTGTTTCCATCAATACTATCAATAATTTGTAAGTGTAATTTTTACTTTTTAAAAAGTAAAAGCATAGAAAAAAGAAGCACCTCACATGTTGGGGAATAAAGGAAACAGGCTATGAATTTTAATTAATTAATTAATTAATTATTTGAATTTTATTTTTATATTCCCCATACAATTACAACCCCCTTATTTTGACCCCAAGCCCTCCTTTCCCTGCCCCCCAACCCCCATAGAGTGTTGTTTGTTGATTTTGATATTTTCTTTCTTATAGTTATTCATTTTCCTGGTCCCTTATTTAAGTTTTCTAGATTCCTGCTATGAGTGAGACCATCCGGTATTTTTCTTTTTCTTTCTGCCTTATTTCGCTGAGCATGATCCCTTCCAGCTCCATGCATGTTGCTGCAAATTGCATGTGTTTATCTTTTTGAATGCTGAGTAATATTCCATGGTGTATATGTACCACATCTTCTTGATCCAGTCATCTATTTTTGGGCATTTGGGTTGTTTCCAAAGCTGAGCTATTATAAATAGTGCTGCTATAAGCATAAGGGTGCAGGTGCTCTTTGGAATTGATGTTTCTGTGTCCTTTGGGTAAATACCTAGGAGTGGAATGGCTGGATCATATGGGAGCTCTATGTTTAGTAGGTCAAGAAATCTCCACACACAGGCTATGAATTTTAAAAGATGTGTTTTACGGGTGCCTTGGGGAAGGAAATTATATGGGGACTCAATCTGAGGGGGAAGGGGGAAGTAAATATTGTTTAAAAAATTTTTTAAAAGTTGAAAAAAAAAGAATTTTGGGGAGGCACAATTAAGTCCATAGCACTCACATATCACAAAGAATACATTGAGTTGTTAAATTAAAAAAAAAGATGTGCGTTAGTCTACATCTTAATGGAAAAGTTATACTGATAAATAATTAACAACATTAGGCTATTTACTCCATTCAGAATGAGGCAAATAAATATCAGGTTGAGAACTCCTCTACAAGTCACAGTTACGTTTTGAAGAATTAGCCATCCAGGACAATTATTGTTACTTCCTTTCATTTCCTTCCACATTTTGAGACCATGTAGAAGTTTTCAAAGGGAGTGTTGCAGATATAGGCTTTTTATTTCAATTATAAGCTAAAATTATTTGTAACCTTTCAGACATTTTCACAACACAGTATCTACATTTTTTTCTTGAACTTTAGTGTACTTTTTTTCCTATAAGTTTTCCTGATGTTTTTCCATAATAGATCCTGCCTTTAGATATCCACAGTCCAGTTGGTAATTATGTCAATAAGACAGATACCAATTATGTCAATAAGAAGCAAATGTGAGGACTGCATAAATTCAGGAGACAGCATTGTGCTACCACAGTAATTTCAGATGTCTACTTGATAATGGCACTTGAAAATTCACAAGAGCATCATGTGCTTTATGTGTACATCACTTAAGCCAGAAGCTGAATCTTCCTCCTGTGCTTTGGCATCAAGAGTTGAATCAGAGTCATTGAATTTCAAGATCAGAAAGGATTCAAATGCCTTTTAGTCCAATTCTTTTATATGAATGAATCTCTTTTATAAAATCCCTAATAAATGCCTCTTCATTCCTCTCCTTGAACCCCTCATGACAGTGAACTTACCACCTCCACCCCCTTCACCAATGCTTCAGGTAAAAATAAATGCATCTTATTACATTTCAGACAGATTTTCCATCCTCTATAATAAGTTATTTTCAGCACTGTGAAGTCTACCAATTTTATTAGTATGAGTCATATGTCCTTCATCTATTGTGAGTATAAAGAAGGGAAAAACAGGCAATTATGGAACATGCAGGCTTTCATTTCTATTTACCTGTCTATGTATATCTGCCTCTTTCCATAAAGACCTTAAATGAAATGAGTTAAAACACCTGGATGCAATAGAGTTATTATAATAGAAATAGAAATTCAAGGTCCTGGAAAGAAATTCTTGACTCAAAGTCTAATGTAGTTGCTGGCATTGAAATTAAATTTATCAGTGGGGTTTCTGTAAGTCACTACAAAAGGAGAAATATAGTGGATGATACAGTTTCATTATCTAACAGAAGAAAGTATACTATTTCTCCATTAAATGAAAAATTTTCTTAGTTCTAAAGTATAGGAGGAATTTCTCATGTAGCAGCTTAGTTTATTATGTTCCTTCATTTTTGCTCATTGATGTGCTGCTGAGAACAGTGTTGATAACCCTTAAACTTTTATTAACTCACACCCTCAATGAAACATTAACCAACCTTTAAAAAACTCTTTTGAGTAAGGGAACAAAGCATGGGTACTGAATAAATCCTTTTCCAAAAGTGGTTGGGAAATGACCTTAAAACTGTTAAAATCACCTTAAAACTATTAAAAGTCAACATTATGGGGGAAAATGCCCAATTTTTAGTAGATGGGAACAAAAGAGAAACTGAATTAATCTATGACATTACTATTATTTCATCGTTTCTAGAAACAACTCTAATTGGGTGTTGACTAGCAGTAAATGACATCCTGTGAACTGAGAGGAGTGCTGTAAGAATCTGCCTGAATATCTGATGAGACTTTGGATCTCTCAGAAAGAAAGTTATGAAATGTATGCTAAAGGTTTTATGAAAGGTTTTTTGACTCTGCAGCTAGAGATAATGTGAAGAACTTGGGGTTTCTTCCTTGCTCATTAAACACCCAATTATTTTTTTACGAAGGAAATTTCAGGACCCTGAAGCCTAAAAGATACAAATGGGCCAAGTGTACCTTCCTGTAGTTAATCATTGAAGTTTTAAAATACTTTCCTTTGCAGTATGTCTCTGATTTATAATTGTCTGTTTTTGCTTTGAGGAAGAGGGAGAGGGATCAGAAGGAAGCAGGGAGGAGCACAGGGGACTGAGGAGATGGTGCATGGGTGCACTGATGAAGGAAATTCTATGGGGACTAAACCTGAGGGGGTGGAGGGAAGTAAATATTGTTTAAAAATGAACAATGATGTAAAAAATTTTTAAAAATTAAAAATGTAAAAAAAAATAAAATAAAACTTATTTGCTCTTGGACTGAAGAGTGGGGGAGCTATGTTTACATAATGACCATTTCACCTTTGAAGGTCTTTGTGGTGCTCAGGTAAAAATAAATGACTTTCCTCACTGTGATTATCATAACTGTTGAGTCTTTACCTGGACTACCTGGTTCCATCATTAAATTCTAAATAACCTCAGAGAGGTTTTACCTCCTTCCCCACAACTAGAACCAGCCAGGCCCTCTCTCCTTTTCTAGGACTAGAAAAAATATACCTGCTGTCTGTATTTCACCTGTGCAAATGTGGTAGCTAATGTTGCTGTTGTTGTTATCATTATTACTATTACTGTTGAATCAGGATTATACTGAACCAGGATCCCTCGAGGTCCCTTGAGGCCTAAATTAGATTCAATTCTGAATTGAATTCAAATTAGCAATATGAAATGAATGCAAGTACAGTAAAACTAATCTCTACATTGAATGATGTTGTTTGTATAACTAACCACAAAATGCATTTATGGGGTCACAATGGAGAGAATGAAAAAGATTATAGATTTATTCTAAAGATAGCATGGTAACAAATGACTTGGATTTTTCCAAAATTAGAATAAACTGAGCATATATTTATTTAAAGCTGAGGTATTATCAGGACATAACAGTATATTGATGTTTGGCAAGTACAAATAAGCATACTGATCATTATTTCACATCACAGTTTATTATGACATACAACTGTCAGAAATCAAAGCCAAAGCTAAGCAGAAAAGAGCTACCCAGAGCAAAATCTTCTCTTCATTTTCAGTCATTCTATTCTACATAATTCCTTTTTGATTACCAACAAGACCAGGAATAGAGGGTAACAAATGACAATAAAAAAGGCCTATGAGTTACTGGATAATTTGAAATGTCGTACAAAGTTGGGAGAGAAGCACCAGTTGAGATAAGCACATAATTCCCTAGAGCAGCATACATGAAACAGTGGTGAACGGCTATCTCTAAGCTCTGTTTTGGGAAGCTGAGTAGCACAAATACCTGGTGTGGAAGAAGTTGGCATAGCAACTCTGCATTTGCAATGGTGGATCACAGAGTAAACAGGTGCATAAAACTACTCAGATGTATTTGCTTCTCCAGAGTGGTTAAATCTTGTAAAGCATTTTTTTTCTGCATTTCTTTTTGAGAAATACAAACACTTCAGTCTAATAACTTAAGGCAGTTCATTTGATGAGTAAGAGAGGATATTCATGGCTCATGGAAAGTTTTATTCTCTGTATTTTCCCTGAAGAAGGTGACATTTAGGCTAAAAATAAGTCATTTTCCTCTCATTGTGGACACAATTCTCCATTGACCATAAAATAGGTTTTCTGAATTTGCCAAAATATATGTTCCTGGGAAAAAAATTGCTTACCTCTTGTCAACAGGCCCATTGAAATCTGGATCAAATTCCTTTTGCTCACCTGCATTAAAAAAAAAAGACTTTTTAAGCATATAAGTCAATGTAAAGGCAAATAAACAAATTATTCATAATTAAAAATGTACATCTTGGTCTTCCTGGTGGCACAAGGGGTTAAGCACCACACTATGAAGCAATCTGCAGCCTCTGCAGCAAAAGTTCGAGCCCCACCCGGCCAAGGAGAAACCCATGTAGCTAGGCAGACCTCTCCTATCTCGCATGCTGCTCCCCTCATCAGTGTATTTTGGTCAATTTGCCTGTTCTGTTCCCCACTCTGCCTCTGGTGGATCCTCTCACCCCTTGCATCTCTCACCTGTACTCCAGCTCTTGTATGCATAAATAAATGAATCTTTAAAAAAAATGTACACCTTGGTAGTCTACTGCTCAGTGTAGTGTTGAATTCATTCTTTGGTTGAGTGAAATGTCAGCCTTGCTTTGGTTACAGCTGTCAATCCTTTCCCTCTCTCCAGCTAAAAGCAACACTGAGAAGAGTTGCCAAAGACCATATTATTTGCACCTTATGCACATACTCTCCTCACTGTTCTGAGGAACACCAATATAAACTCCACCCAGGGCAGCAAAATTTGAAACACTACTGAGCTGCAAAATTATCCTACCATCTGCCATCACCAAGTATTGCTGAGTACTCAGGAGGTAGATGCAAAGTTCCACAGAGATGCCTATTTAGTCCAGTCCATTTCTCTCAGTGGATTAGACTATCCTTCTACAAGTGGGAATTCTAGTCACTGCTGGTCTCTGTCATGTTGGCTGTATGGTATATACAATTCATTACTATATAAGTGCTATTTATTTTTTTCTTTAGCTCTACTGGAGGACTTTATACCATCCAGGAAGACATGCTGGACATTAATCATTGCATCATGATTGCAACTTTCATCTCTAACTGTTACCAAGCAATGGGTTCTCTACCCAATATGTATATAACAAATTATGACATCAGGGATTTTGAGAAGAGAAAAAAGTTTTATTGTAATTGATTGGCAAGGAGGTAGGTGATAAACAAATTTATCTCCCTGATTAAGGGAGTAAAGTTATATAGATTTTTGAGGGCCAGGGTTGAGAACAAAGAAGTTAAATTTTATTGACTGAAAGTGGATTAGAGGTAAAGAAAAGTGGACTTGGTTCAAGTTTATTGGCTATAGTGACAGGGCAGTTCATACATGAAAAATGAAGAGGCTTTTTTAAGATAACCGGGATTTTGAATTTCTATTGGTGTACCCCTCAACTCTAGGTGGCCTTTCTCATCTGAATTTGCAGATTCCTGGCTCTCAGCAGCCTTGGAGTTCAGCTCTAACATAGCCATTAATCCTCCAGCCTCTATTGTGTCTGCAAAAGCAAGTCTCAGAGAAAAGATTAGGTAAGTTTTTCTCACTCAATCTCTTTTTTTTTTTTTTTTTTTAATTTATACAAGCACTGGGTACAGTCAGAAGCACAGGAGGGTGAGAGGATTCACCAGAGCCAGAGCAGGGAACAGAACAGGCAGACTGATGAAACATACTGCTGAGGGGAGCAGCGGGCATGGCAGGAGAGGTCTGCACGCCATGTGGCCAGTGGCCGGGGATCCAATCGGTGCTGCAGAGGCTGCAGGCAGCTTGGCAGCCCAACGCTCAACAGCTGCACCACCAGGGGAGGTGGAAGTCTCTCTTTTTTGTTCTCTTAGGTTGCTCCTAAGTCAAATCAAGACTTGGTTACATAAATAGTAAAGATACATGTGGACTGGCTTCCCCCCCCCCCACACACACATAGACTGTGTAGGCAGATCCTGTAACAAGTTCTATAAAATCAGTATTGGACAAAGGTCTGACTTTTTTCAATACTCAACCCCCTGACACTTTTTCCCCAATGCAAGAATTCCCACAATTTTGTCTAGAGATTTGTCAATGTACAAAGGCCTAGTCCTGAATTCAAGACAGAATTTCCAAAGGGACTTGACACCCTCACTCTGCCTGTAGTCAGCAGGGAAATTTGGCCTTGTCAGTGTGATCACAGGCTGAGGACAGAAAAGGAAGAAGAGAGGAACAGGCTTACAATAGAATTTCAAGAGTCAGCAGTAACTATTCATAAAACACCTACTATCTGCTGAGACTTCCCATGGGACACAAAAGATATATAAAGCAAGATTCCTCTCTTGGAGACCTTACAACTGGTGAGGTAAGATCAACTTACGATTAATTCAATAATTATTTCTTGAGCATCTTAATATACCAGGCCATAATAAAAAAACATAAGCAATGAATATGCCACATAAAAGTATTAATTTATACAGTACTAAATTATGGGGTATCGGCCTTAAATGTTATGAGTTATGAAAAAGTTAAGTTTCTTCTAGGACTAGATCAAGAGGGTTTCATTCAAGAAATGAGATTTTTACAAAAAGGCTGGAACAAAATTAAAGAAAGGAGAAACATTATAAGTGGGTGAAACTAGAATTCTGTTCAATTCAGTAACTATTTATTGATCATCTGTTATGTGCTCTGCATTGAAAGAGGCACTGAGGAGTATTGAAGAGTTAGTGAAACAATCTCTGTCTTCAATAAATAATGAGGTGGTGAGTAAGGAGAGAAGAAAAATACACAAATCACAATAATACAAGGCAGAAAATGATATCTTAAGAAGGGTACAAGGAAAGTATTATGAGAGTTCTAGGGACTCAAGGGTCACATTCAGTTCCAATTATTAAGGAAGGGTTCAAAGAGTCACAATTTTGGAAGATAGACAGGTAAAATTTAAACCTGTAGAGATGAATGAAATTACAGAATTAGGAATAAATAACACATTTTTGGATAGGGCGAAAGATAAGTTAATGGGAGTAAGGTGTAATAGGATAGGAGGATGAGAAAATAAAGTGAATTGATAGTATGGGATCATATCACAGAAAGTCTAAAAAGCCAAGTAGAGAACTTATTTTATCCATCATGGATCACAGGGAGCAACAGAAAGATTTTGAACTAAAGGATGAATGGCTCAGTAGAAGCCGTGCTCAAGGGCGAGACATCTAGCAACAGCATGCAAGTTGTAGTATAGAGTCAAGGAGAACAATAAGGAGTGTACTGCAGTCATACTAGGGGTGAAGTGATATGCACCATCCTCCAAGTAATAGTGAAGGTAATGAAGAGAACTCGACTCATCACAGAGCAGTTGTATGGCCGAGAGGTTAGGACTGAGGGCTCTGGTATCACTTATTAGCAGAGCAACCCTAGGCAGGTCATCTCATTTCCCAGAGTGTAGGTTTCCATATTTGTGAATGAAGATAATAGTACCTATTCCATAATGTTGTTATGAAGATAAATGAATTATTATCTGCAAAAGTGTTTAGAACAGTGTCTGCCACTTACTAAGTCCCAAATAAAGTCCATTGTTAGTTCACAATTACATGAAAAGGAAAAATAGAATTTGATGCAAGGTAAGACTTGGGGTGTAAAAGAGAACTCAAAGATGGCTTCAAATCAAGGGACTATACAGACTTTCTAGAAGTTGTGACTCTCGTTCACTTTTGGTCTTTTACCTAGGTTTACAGAAAGGCTGGTACTATCAAAACAGTTGGGAACATCAGTAGCTGAAAGAAATTCCTTTGTTGTAAGAAAAAGAACAGAAGTCTGATTTTGATCTTTGGAAGTGACATCCAAAGGAAAGTCTTGCATTTAATGGAGTTAAGAAACTGATGCCTTAGGTCAGGTCTTAAAATAAACACTTGGAAGACAAAGTTCTTATTTTTAATAAAAAGTGATAAACTCTGGGCCTCCCCTGGTGGAGCAGTGGTTGAGCACTGGGCTGCGAAGCTGCCACAGCCTCTGCAGGGCCGCTTCGATCCCCAGCCACCGGCGAGGGTCCCACATGGCGCGCAGACCAATCCTGCCATGCCCGCTGCTCCCCTCAGCAGTGTATTTCATCGGTCTGTCTGTTCTCTTCCCCGCTCTGGCTCTGGTGAATTCTCTCACCCTCCCGTGCTTCTGACTGTACCCAGTGCTTGTATAAATAAATAAATAAATCTTTAAAAAAAAAGTGATAAACTCCATATAGGAGAACATCAGAATAATGCTATTATAATGACAATAACAGTAATATCTCATGTTTTTAAGCATTAAAGTCTAAGCACTGCACTAACTGATTTATAGGTATTTTGTTTACTTTGATACAAACTCTACTATTATTACTCTCATTTCACACATGTAAAAAACAAAGTAGGAGAGATTAAGGAACATTCCTGTAGTCACAGAGTTGATAAATGGTCCTACTGGGACCCTGGGATCCGCACCCTGCCTAGTTTTATTGCAGCACAACAGATCCCACCAGCCATACCCTGCACACCAACATACATTTCTACTTGGGGGAACTGTGTAAAATGTTTCCTGCTGGAGACAATCTGTATATAATTCAGTGTCAAGTTCTCTGTCACATTGTCAGCTTTTCTTTTTCCCATTGCTTGTCTGACTCTGCTTTGTTGCAACAAAGAGGTGTCTAATTCCTCTTTCTCTGGAAACTGACCTCTCTAATCTATAGGAGTGGTTCTCCAGCAGCCCTATCTCTCACGTGTCTGTTCCCTGGCGATCAGTGATGGTCTAATTTGGACACTAGACCAAAACTGGACCAGATTATCTATGCCAGGAATTTAGAATTAGAATAGATAGGGAGTTAATCAGGAGGAGACAGGAACTGCAAACTGTAAAGCTTGAAAACCAGAGAAGCGGATAAATTTGGCTTTCAGAAAGCAATTGAAGTAAATATGCAAAGAGAATTAGAGATGGACGTCCTAAGGGACTGCAGTTTCATGGTCTAGGCCCTCCTTTTCGCCCAGATTTGAGTTTCATGAGATACCACCTTGCCTCCTCATACTTAATTCCTCTTTCTGGCTTTTTGTTAGTTCACCTTAATTGTGGACAAAGAGGTCCACTAATACACTCTTTTGTCTTGACTTATGTTTCAACAATTAGTTTCAACATTTATTATAACCTTGCCATGAATAGGGAATGGAGATTCAATGTT